GTAGCCAAATCCTCCCATAACACATACCAACTCTATCTCTTTCTGTTTCTGTAGTTTCACCTTTTCTTGGCCAGGTGTAGTGGTTCATGCCTAATCCCAGAACTCTGGGAGGCTGAGGTGGGAGAATTACAAGGTCAAGAGTTCAAGACCAGCCTGACCAATGTGGTGAAACCCTATCTCTACTAAAAATACAAAAATTATCCAGACATGGTGGCAGGTGCTTGTAATCCCAGCTACTCAGGGGCTCAGACAGGAGACTCGCTTGAACCTGAGAGCCGGAGGTTGCAGTGAGCCAAGATCCCCACATTGCACTTCAGCCTGGGCAACAGAGGAAGACTGCACCTCCAAAAGAAAAGATATATAGCATTTTGATTCTGGTTTTTTGTTGTTTTTGGCTTAGCAGAATGCATTGAGATTTATCCATAATGTTGTGTGAATCAATAGTTCCCTCTGTTTTATTGCTGAGTAGTATTTCATGTAATGGATGTACCAGAATTTTCATCCAAATTTCATTCATTCACCTGTTGAAGAACATCATGTTTCTAGCCTTGATTGTAATAAATAAAGCTGCTTTGAATATTTGTATACAGGTTATTACATAAACATATTATTTCAATTTTTAATTTTCTTGGTTAAATAATGAGGAATGACATCACTGACTCATATGATAAGTGTATGTTTAATTATATAAACTGTTTTCTAAAGTGGCTGTACCATTTTTCATTTCCCCATTAGTAATTAGAATTCTTGTTTTTCTGCTGTGTCTTCTTATCAGTGTTTGGTATTGTCAGGAATTTTCCCCTAGCCATCCTTATAGGTGTATATTAGTCATGGCATATCATTGTAGTTTTGATCTGCAGTCTCTCCTGACTAAATTATCTGACATTTTATACCTTTTTCAGAGAAGTATATGGGTATACATTTTGCCCCGTTTTTGGTTGGGTTCTCATTGTTGGGTTTTAAGAGTTCTTTATGTAGTCTAAACATGTGTCCTTTATCAGTTATGTGATTTGCACATATTTTCTCCATCTGTAGCTTATATTTTCATGCTCTTAGTCTTTCATAGAACAAATGTTTTTAATTTTTATGAAGTCCAATTTATCCTTTTTCCCATTTATTACTTATACATTTGGTGTTGCATCTAAATATCACCAAACCAGAAGTTACACAGATTTTCTCCTATGTTTTCAACATTTGTGTCATATTTGAGGCTAGTTCTGTTGATGGCCTTGCCTCTTAAAAAGTATGTTTATTGGTTTTTCTCTTATTTCCTTATGTGTCTTATAATTTTTGGTTGAAAATCAAACATCTTGTAGTGCAGCAGCAAGTGAAGTAAATAATTTTATGCCTTGAAATAGGTAATCTTTTTATTTTTGCTAGAAATTGGTGAAAGAATATTGAGTCAAGTAGCCAAAACCTGACCTGGATTTGAGTTTTGGTGTTGCTATGTTTACATTCAGTCCACCACAAGCTTTAAAAAAATTCCTCCAGCAATATTTTCTGTTTAGGGTAGGGACTGGTGAGAGGATTTTTTTCTGGTGATGGTTTCATCCGTAGCTTTAGATCAGTCCTTTTCTACTCTCCTGCCTCTGGATGCATTAGTCATTCCCATGCTCTTGACCTCCCCTAAACCAGCCTGGTGCCTGTGTGCAGGAGGGGAGGGGCGTAGGTATAGTGTTCACTGTGGTCCAGCTTCATTCTTAGGCAAACATTCTAATCCTGGATTTCAGAGGTGAGATCCTCTTTATCTTTATTTGCCAGTTGGGGAAGGATGGGTAGGGATCCCACTCCTCTTCCAATGGAAGTGTTCTAGCCACAGGACACATCTAGAGGTCTGTTACTGTTCTCTTCTCCCAGCTACACTGGGTCTTGACCTGTGTCCTGAGGGCAACAAACTTTGAACACATTCCCACAGAGCCTTAAGGTTTTTGTTACACAGGGGAAATAAAGGATAATATTCCAGGTGGATCTCTGTGCCTTTTGCTCAACAGCTGCTGCTGCTTATTCCAAATCTTTACCACAAGGGTTGTTTTATCCATACGCTCACCATGTCCCTAGACTTTTTTTAGAAGAAGCTCATAGAAATGTGAAGAAGAGTCTATAAGTGGATATAAATACTCCGAGTTTTAGTAGCTCCTAATGGCATGATAATCCTATGCTGGCCCACAGTCAGCAATTTGTTAATATTTTTAGGTAAAACTTTTAGCTAACTTCTTACTTGTTTGCATGGCATCTGGCATCTGCCACAAACACTTTCACCCCATCTTTCTTTGCAGAAACCTTTTTATCTGAGATCTGAAGTGGGTGGTTGTCTTACAATATGATCTTTTTGGTAGATTCAAGAAAGTTGTGGTTTTTTAGCTGTCAAAGTAAGATCTATGCTCTTTCTAACTTTCTACATTCTAAGTGGAAGCTGGTATTTTCCATTTATTTTGAGAAAAAGAGAGAACCATTAAAGATTTTTAAAGCCACTCTGAAAAGTTCACATCTATATTTTTAGAAGAAAAAATAATATTCTGGTTGCACCATATAGAGCAGATTGGTTTGCAGAGAAATTAGGAGGCTGTTACAATAACGTGGACAAAAGATGAACAAATCCCAAACACAGCATGGCCTGGGACAGAAAGATAAAGATGTATTTGAAAAATTTAGGATTTCACAAAACTCCCTGACAGATTGTGAACATGGGTGCCTATAAGCATATTCATGCACTTTAAAGTGCTAGAGTGTGTCTACAAGAGAGAAAAGATGGTGCCCATTTTTTTACCTAGACAAGTAGGATGGTGGTAAAGGAGTCAACACAATATTAAGATTTTAAGGGAAGCAGATACATAGGTGGGTGTTACCTTGTGAAACAGGTGGTTAGTTCACTAAAAGGGCTGTAAACACGCAAGACAGAGGACCGTAACATTAATTTTGGGCAAATCAGTAAATGGACACATAAAGAAAGAAATTGCAGCACCGATTTGGAGCTATACCTGCTTAATAATCAAAATGACTTCTTTATTTTTTATTCCAGCAAGGGCAATAGGTTTTGTCAGATTTAAGAGTTCAGTGGGAATAATTTGTACAAATTGAAATGCCCCATAAAATGTGAGCTGAGCTGAACTACTGCAGCCTTTCCCTGGCCGAGATGCTGAGGCTCTTTCTCATGGCTCCCCCAACACTAGAATTCCCAAACACTGTATGCTAATTGCGTGGGCTGATTAGTATAAAATTTAATTTGTTATAATATGCCACAGGACACTTAATAAACCTAATATGTCAGCCTCAGGTTTGGGAACAATTAAGAGAAATTTATAGTGTGAAGGCATTTAAGGTCCTGGTAGGAAAGAAGAGAAATGTGTAATGCCAATTCCCTAATTCATCTTTCAGAACCCAAAAAGGGATTGTTAGATCATAAACATGTCAATATAACAGTGATTGTTATATGGACAAAAATATGGCAAATTTTTTATATCATGATGTCACAAACTTACCCCCTCCTTTCTCTCTCCTGTAAGTATTTATGGAGCTCCATTTTATCAGACCTCTATCTTTCATGTTCAAAGCAAAGATGAGAATCTTCCTTTTGAAAGAGTCACAGCCTACTGGGAAGATGCCCACAGCTAACATTTGCTAATGTAACATTATGAGTGTTAATCTCAGTGGGACAGAAAAGAGAAGAAAGGAGATATACTAACTGGAATTAGAATTGTAGAACTTACCCATTCAAATAAGCATTGTTCTTCAAAATAATCACTTTGACAAAAGTATGTACTTCCCAATCATGTTCTAAGTACTTAAAACAGTTTAGAGACTTGGCTTTTGGAGTTATCTTCAGAAAATATTTGTAAGTTATAAAAAAGTATTTGATGATTTTATTTTATTTTTATCAAATTATAATAACTAGCTCAATGTGAGTGTTTATGTGTGTGTGTGTGTGTGGTGTTTTCTGTTTATTTGTTTTTTGAGTAGGTGGCTAAACAGATGTCCATGAAACATGCTTCTGTGGTCAAATAAATTTAAGAAAATCTACTCATGCTCTTCCCTCATTTGAAGCATATTAACAGATCCAATCTCTAAGAAACTCTACAGCAAACTTAACCTTGTAGACCAGTGCTTCCACAACTTACTCTATTTCATCAAATCTAAAATGTCATCTCTTATAAGATGCACCATTCATTTATGTACCCCCCTTTTTCTTTGAGACAGGGTCTTAACTCCGTCACCTAAGCTAAAGTACAGTGGTACCACCTTGGCTCACTGCAGCCTTAATCTCCAAGGCTCCATCGATCATTTCACCTTAGCCTCCTGAGTAGCTGGGACTACGGGTGTGTGCCACCATGCCTGGCTAATGTTTGGTATTTTTTTTTTTTTTTAGAAACAGAGTTTTGTTATGTTACTCAGGATGGTCTCAAATTTCTGGTCTCCACCCGCCTTGGCTTCTCATAGTGCTGGGATTACAGGTATGAACCTTCACACCCAGCCCATGCATCTTAAAAAAAAAAAAACAAACAGAAATGCCAATTAAAACTCAATGCTTTCCTAAGATTAAAAAAAATTAGTTATAACTTTAGGCTTACTTGAAATATTTTTTGTATATCACTTAGACAAATATTTCATTATATATTATTCTTGAGGATATATATCTACACATATATGTATAGATATATATGTCATTTAAGATACTTCTAAAACTTTGGAAACAGAATAAATATCAACTCTTCTGAATCACTTTTTGCCCCAGAGTTGCTGATATCCATACTTTTTCACCAACATTCTTATCTGTACCATGGAGAATACTGGTGATGCAACTTCTTTTTTTTTTGATCGTACTTTAGGTTCTGGGATATATGTGCAAATCATGCAGGATTGTTGCATAGGTACATACATGGTAAGGTGGTTTGCTGCCTTCATCTCCCCATCTCCTCTATCTGCTATTTCTCCCCTCATTATCCCTCCCCACCCTCCCCACCCCTGTTGTACCTCCCCTAGCCCCCCACCAAGTGACTGCAGTGTATGATGTTCCCTTCCCTGTGTCCATGTTTTCTAATTGTTCAACACCTGCCTGTGAGTGAGAACATGTGATGCTTGATTTTCTGTTCTTGTGTCAGTTTGCTGAGAATGATGGTTTCCAGATTCATCCATGTCTCTGTGAAGGACACGAACTCATCACTTTTTATGGCTGTGTTGTATTCCATGGTGTATATGTGCCACATTTTCTTTATCCAGTCTATCATTGATGCACATTTGGGCTGGTTCCAGGTATTTGCTATTGTAAGCAGTGCTGCAATGAACAGACATGTGCATGCGTCTTTATACTAGAACAATTTATAATTCTTTGAGCTTCATCCATGTCCCCAAAAAGGGCATAAAACCATCCTTTTTTTATGGCTGCACAGTATTCCATGGTGTATATGTGCCACATTTTCTTTATCCAGTCTATCATTGATGGGTGTTTGGGTTGGTTCCAAGTCTTTGCTATTCTGAACAGTGCCACAATAAACATACGTGTGCATGTGCCTTTATAGTAGAATGATTTATAATTCTTTGGGTATATACCCAGTAATGGGATTGCTGGGTCAAATGGTATGGTCATGCAACTTCTTAAAGTGTCTTTCACTACTGTCTTCCTAATTTTTATCCAAGCCACTGACACCTATTCAGCAGGTATTGATGTATTTGTGTAGGGTAAACAGCATCAAAACCATCGCCTATTCATAGTAGCCAAGATTTGAAAGCAACCTAAGTGTTCATCAACAGATGAATAGATAAAGAAAATGTGGTACATACACACAATGGAGTTTTAGCCATAAAAATGTGAGATCCTGTTATTTGGAACAACATGGATGAAACTCAAGATCATTAACTTAAGTGAAATAAGTCAGTCACAGAAAGGTAAACATCATATGTTCTAACTTATTTGTGGAATCTATAAATCAAAACAATCGAACTTAAGGACATAGAGAGTAGAAGGTTGGTTACCAGAGACTGGAAAGGGTAGTGTGGAGCTGAGGTGGGAATGGTTAATAGGTACAAAAAAAAAAATAAGACCACCTAATCAAACTCCACAGCTTCTGCACGGCAAAAGAAACAGTCACTAGAGTGAATCGGCAACCAACAGAATGGGAAAAAATTTTTGCAGTTTGCCTATCTGACAAAGGGCTGATATCCAGAATTTACAAAGAACTCAAACAGATTTACAAGAAAAAAACAAGCCCATTCAAAAGTGGGCAAAGGATATGAACTGACACTTTACGAAAGAAGACATATATGAGGCCAACAGTCATATGAAAAAATGCTCATCGTCACTGGTCATCAGAGAGATGCAAATCAAAACCACATTGAGATACCATCTCATGCCAGTTAGAATGGCGATCATTAAAAAATCTGGAGACAACAGATGCTGGAGAGGATGTGGAGAAAAAGGAACACTTTTACACTGTTGGTGGGAGTGTAAATTAGTCCAACCATTGTGGAAGACAGTGTGGCGATTCCTCAAGGCCTTAGAAATAGAAATTCCATTTGACCCAGCAATCCCATTACTGGGTATATATCCAAAGGACTATAAATCATTCTACTATAAGGACACATGCACATGAATGTTTATTGCAGCACTGTTTACAATAGCAAAGACCTGGAATCAACACAAATGCCCATTGATGATAGACTGGATTGGGAAAATGTGGCACATATACACCATGGAATATTATGCAGCAATCAGAAATGATGAGTTCGCGTCGTTTGTAGGGACATGGATCAATCTGGAGAACATCATTCTCAGCAAACTGACACAAGAACAGAAAATGAAACACTGCATATTCTCACTCATAGGCGGGTGATGAAAAATGAGAACACATGGACACAGAGAGGGGAGTACTAAACACTGGGGTCTATTGGGGGGAAAAGGGGAGGGCCAGTGGGAGGGGGAGGTGGGGAGGGATAGCCTGGGGAGAAACGCCAAATGTGGGTGAAGGGGTGAAAGCAAACAGAACACACTGCCATGTGTGTACCTATGCAACTGTATTGCATGCTCTGCACATGTACCCCAAAACCTAAAATGCAATAAAAAAAGAATAAATAAGACCTACTATTTGAATTGCACAAGAGGGTGACGATAGTCAATAATAATGTAATCATACATTTTGAAATAACTAAAAGAATATCATTGGACTGTTTGTAACACAAAGGATAAAAGCTTCAGGGTGGAGATGCCCCACTCTCCATGATGTAGTTACTATGCATTGCATGCCTGTATCAAAACATCTCATGTATCCCATAAATATATATACCTACAATGTACCCACAAAAATTAAAAATTTAAAATGAGAAAAAAAAATCACCTAACTGATAGTGATAGTAAGGTCCATTTTAATTTTAGAGATTTTAACATTTGAAAGAAGGAAAAATTTGTTACAGAACCAGTGAAAAGGATCATATGCTCACAAATCCAATAGAGTGGGGGTTTGGGGAGTCTTTGAGAAAGCTGATCTATACTGCTTGATCAAAGTTGGACTAAAGCTAATGATAGCCAATCTCCTATGAAATAATGATTTAATCACTACCTATCATAACAACATTCAACTCAGGGAGCTCAAAATGAAATTCCTGGAAGAGTACACTGTAGTGGTTGTGAGTACAAAATCTACAACCAGCTGGTCTCAATTTGTATCCTTTCTTGCCCATGTATTAGTTATGAGGACATTACTTAACCTCTCCAACTGTCAATTTCCTCATCTTTAAAGTGGGGAGACTAATGACACCTACCACATAGAGTTATTCTGAGGCTTACATTAAAAAGAAAAGCTAATAAAGCTTTTAGCACAGTCACTGTCAGTAATCAGCACACTTTAGCTATTGTTATTATTTTCTCAGGCATTCATGACAAGCAACCACCTTTCTCAATTTAGCTATGAAAGAATCCTTGTTATTTCTGAAAATTAAAATTACTCCTAGAGGGTTAATAATTTATAACATGAAAAGGTTCTCAGCAATATGCTACAGGGTTTGATAAAGATTACTGAAGTGTAGCAGTTTACAAAATACTTTTGGTAATGACAGCATTATCGAAATAAGCACATGGCCTCCCCCATGCCTGTTATGAAAGTGAATAGAGCCAAATCATGAGTGAACTCCCATTTACAACTGCTACAAAGAGAATAAAATACCTAGGAATACAACTAACAAAGGATGTAAAATATCTCTTCAAGGAGAACTACAAACCACTGATCAAGGAAATGAGAAGACACAAAAGATGGAAAAAACATTCCATGCTCATGGTTGGGAAGAATCAATATTGTGAAAATGGCCATATCGCCCAAAGTAATTTATAGATTCAATGCTATCCCCAACAAGCTACCACTGACCTTCTTCATAGAACTGGAAGAAAAAAAAAACACTTTAAACTTCATATGGAATCAAAAGAGAGCCCACATAGCCAAGACAATCCTAAGCAAAAATAAAAAACTGGAGGCATCACACTACCTGACTTCAAACTATACTATAAGCCTATAGTAATCAAAACAGCATGGTACTAGTACCAAAACAGAGATATAGACCAATGGAACAGAACAGAAGCCTCAGAAGCAATGCCACACATCCACAACCATCTGATCTTTGACAAACCTGACAAAACAAAGCAATGGGGAAAGGATTTCCTGTTTAATAGAAGGCATTGGGAAAACTGGCTAGCCATATGCAGGAAGCTGAAACTGGACCCCTTCCTTACACCTTATACAAAAATTAACTCCAGATGGATTACGGATTTAAACATAAGATCTAACAGCATAAAAACTCTAGAAGAAAACCTAGGCAAAACCATTCAGGATATAGGCATAGGCAAGGACTTCATGACTAAAACACCAAAAGCAATGGCAACCAAAGCCAAAATAGACAAATGGGATTTAATTAAACTCCAGAGCTTATGTACAGCAAAATGAACAATCATTAGAGTGAACAAGAAACCAACAGAGTGGGAAAAAAATTTTGCAATCTACCCATCTGACAAAGGCTAATATCCAGAATCTACAAAGAACTAAAGCAGATTTACAAGAAAAAAACAAACAAATCCATTCAAAAATGGGTGAAGGATATAAAGTTTTCAAAAGAAGACATTTATGTGGCCAAGAAACATATGAAAAAGTACTTATTATCATTGGTCATTAGAGAAGTACAAATCAAAACCACATTGAGATACCATCTCATGCCAGTTAGAATGGCGATCATTTAAAAAAAAACTGGAGACAGCAGATGCTGGAGGGGATGTGGAGAAATGGGAACACTTTTACACTGTTGGGGGGAGTGTAAAGTAGTTCGACCATTATGGAAGACAGTGTGGTGATTCCTCAAGGATCTAGATACAGAAATTCCATTTGACACAGCAAACCAATTACTGGGTATATATCCAAAGGATTATAAATCATTATGTTATAAAGACACATACACACATAAGTTCATTGTGGCACTGGAATACTATGCAGCCATAAAAAATGACGAGTTTTTGTCCTTTGTAGAGACATGGATGAATCTAGAAACCACCATTCTCAATAAACTGACACAAGAACAGAAAAACAAACACTGCAGATTTTCACTCATAGACAGGTGATGAACAATGAGAACACTTGGGCACAGGGAAGGGAACAACACTCACTCAGCTAGGTCAGAGGGGAGAAGAAGGGACAGCAAGGGATGGAGAGGAGTAGGATAACACTGGGAGAAATGCCTGATGTAGGCGATGGTGGGGGGGTGGTGGGATGGAGACAGCAAACCACCATGGCATGTATGTACTTATGCAACAACCCTGCAGGATGCAGGATGTGCACATGTACCCCAGAGCCTGAAGTACAATAAATAAATAAATAGATAGATAGATGATAGATATATAGAAAGTGACAAGTGACTCAATTCATTTCCGAATAGCAGTGTGATTACTACTCTATCTCTTTGCACTATAGGTAAATTGTATAGAAACTGGTTTTCTGTCTTCTGCATTCCATCTTTCTCACCTCCCAGGTCCAATCCATTTGAAAGTCCTATGAAAGACAATTTGAAAAACAACGGCAAAAATATTTTTTTCCCTTCCTAAATGTATAATTTGGGCAATCCAATTAATCTTTTTGGGTCCTGGTTTTATCTATGAAATATGGATACTACAAATACCCACATCACGGAGTCATTATTACTACTAGCATTGGCATTATCACTGTGGTATCATTTTCTATTGCAGCTGTAACAAATTGTCACAAACTTTGCAGCTTAAAATAACGCAAATGTACTATACTACTGTTCTGGAGGTCTACAAACTGGATCTCATTGGGCCAGAATTTAGGAGTTAGGGACACTGGGTTCCTTCTGGCGGTTCCAGGGTAGAGTCTGTTTCCTTGCCTTTTCCAGTGTCTAGAGGCTGCCTACATTCCTTAGTTTGTTGCTTCTTCCTCCATCATCCAAGTCAGCAAGGCACCACCGCATCTCTCTGACACTTCCTCTCTTGTCTCCCTCTTTCCCTCCTTGCAATTACACTGGACCTACTGGAATAATTTCCTCATTGCAAGGCTCAGCTGATTAGCAAACTCAATGCTTCCTTGTTATATAACACCATATTCACAAGTTCCAGAGATTAAGACATGGAGATCTTTAGAGGGCCGTTATTCCACCTATCATCGTCACCCTAACGATTAGGTGTTGCTGCATAACACATTACCCGAAAAGGTAGTAGCTTAAGGTAACATTTATCATCTCACACTTTGTCTAGGTCAGAAATTTGGTTGCAACTTAACTGGGTCCTCTGATTCAGGGCCTTTCATAGGTTGCAACCAAGGTGTCCACTGGGGCTTTAGTCATCTCAAAGCTTGACTGTGGAGGTGAGGAGGGGGATATACTCCCAAACTCACTCATGTGATTGTAGGCCGAATTCAGTTTTTCCTGGGCCATTATGCCACTAGGAAGAGATCTCCTCCTTTGGGTCCTTGCCACATGGGCCTCTCCTATAGAACAGCTCACAACATGGTGCTGGCCTCATCAGAGTGAGCAAGCAAGAGAAGAAAGAGAGAGAGTGAGTGTACTAACAGTAAGTCACAGTGTTTTGTAATGAAATCTTGGAAATGATACTCTATTACCTTTGCCCCATTTTATTCATTAGAAGCAAGTCACTAGGTCCTGCCCATATTCATGGGGAAAGGGTGACACAACAATATAAACACCAGGAAGCAAAAATTGTTGGAAGCCATCTTAGAAGCTGGCACCCCACACTTGCTATCATTACCGTTGCTCGTATCTGTCCTCTTCAATTCCTAACATTTTAGCCCAACCCAACTTAATATATCAGCATATTAGGGATTGAGCCTAGGCCCTGTTTTTTTTTTTTAAGAGTTCTCTCTGTGATGTTATGGTGCATTGCAGAGAAGCCACAGCCCTCCCTTGTGCTACTACACTAGTAATTTCTTTATGATGCACCATGACTGAGTCATTCTTTACTCAAAATCCCTTCACAACATTTTGTGTCATTTGTAGTAGAAAGCACAAGCTCCATACTCACTTAAAAGTGCCTCTCTAACTAATTGCTGCCTCTCCAGCTTTGCTGCCAGCTGTCTTCACCTCCCTCACAGTACCAGTTCCTTTAATGCCTCACAGTTCACATCCTTCCTAAGCACTGGGCTGCCTGCCGCTTCTGTGCCTTGGCCAAACTTTGGTCACCCACCTATCCCAACCAACTCCTACAACGTACCTACTCTTAAAAAAGTTGTGTTTATTGGACAATCTAAAGTAATATTTATACAATGTTTGTAAACCTGTTTATAAAAGCAGTGTAAAGTACAATGAATAACAATAAAACAAACAGCTATGAACTCACCAATTAGCTTAAGGAAGGAATATTGTCTTTAACTGAGCTTTCCTGTGTTTCCCTCTTTATGTTCCATCTCTTTCTCTCCTTCACAAAAGTCATCACAATCCTAAATTTTATGTTTATAATTCTCTTGTATTTATTTAAAATTGTAACACATATGTTTGCACACCTAAATAAAAACATTGTTTGGTTGTGTATGTTGCACGGAATTATACAGTTATTAGGCCCATATTATTCTCTGTAGCTGAAATGCAGCCATTTTTTATCATCTTACAGCCGTCAGTTTTATGAACACATAAATTTTATGAATAAATCGGTTAATCCACTCTCTGATTACATCTGATAAACTCTCAGTGTTTCTGCTATTAATGATATTGCTGCTATAAAATTATTATTTATGTCCATTAGTACATATGTGAAAATGTTTTTCTGGAGTATTCACATAGAAATGGATTTGTTGATGTGGCACATATACACCATGGAATATTAGGCAGCCATCAAAAATGATGAGTTCGTGTCCTTTGTAGGGATATGGATGAACCTGGAAACCATCATTCTCAGCAAACTGACACAAGAACATAAAATCAAACACTGCATGTTCTCTCATAGGCAGGTGTTGAACAATGAGAACACATGGATACAGGGAGGGGAGCATCACACACTGGGGTCTGTTGGGAGGAAATAGGGGAGGGACAACGGGGGGTGGGGACTTGGGAAGAGATAGCATGGGGAGAAATGCCAGATATAGGTGAAGGGGAGGAAGGCAGTAAATCACGCTGCCACGTGTGTACCTATGCAACAATCTTGCATGTTCTTCACCTGTACCCCAAAACCTAAAATGCAATTAAAAAAGAAAGAAATCTCTCTAAAAAAAATAGATTTGTTGGCTTATTAGTATGTGATATTCAAATTTACTGGATACCAAAGATTATTCCAACATGTTTGTGCCAATTTACACACCTGCTAGCAGTATATGAAAGTTCTTACAGTTCCATATTGTTGCCATTACATCATATTGCTAGACCTAAAAAACTTTTTGCCAATATGGTAGATGTTAGCAGTTGCTTCAGTTTGCATTGACCTAATCATTAATAAGTGGAACAACTTTTCCCATGCTTATTCACCATTCAGTTTGCTTTTTCCAAAAAGTGCAATCCGACTTATTGGCTCATTTTCTTATAAGGTGTTCATTCTAATTTGTAGGAGTTCTTTGTATATTTTGAATCCTAATTGTTACATTTTGTAGTTTTTATCTTCTTTATGGCGTGTTTGGATAAATAGATGCTCTCATGTAAAGGCAATCAATTTGACTTAAACTTTAAGTTCTCACTTGCTTTTATGTATCTTCTTTAAGAAGACCTGGAATCAACCCAAATGCCCATCGATGATAGACTGGATTGGGAAAATGTGGCACATATACACCATGGAATATTATGCAGCAATCAGAAATGATGAGTTTGTGTCGTTTGTAGGGACATGGATGAATCTGGAGAACATCATTCTCAGCAAACTGACACAAGAACAGAAAATGAAACACCGCATATTCTCACTGATAGGCGGGTGATGAAAAATGAGAACACATGGACACAGAAAGGGGAGTACTAAACACTGGGGTCTATTGGGGGGAAAAGGGGAGGGCCAGTGGGAGGGGGAGGTGGGGAGGGATAGCCTGGGGAGAAACGCCAAATGTGGGTGAAGGGGTGAAAGCAAACAGAACACACTGCCATGTGTGTACCTATGCAACTGTATTGCATGCTCTGCACATGTACCCCAAAACCTAAAATGCAATAAAAACAATAAGAAAAAAAAAAAAGAAGTCCACTTACTCTAGGTCAGAAAGCTCCTATGTTGTCTTCTGAAAGCTTTAAAGTTTTGACTTCTGTATTCAAATTTTTAACCCATTTGAGATTATATGTCCAGTGTGAAGTAAAACTTAAATTTCGTCATTTCCTTCTTGGTTAATCAGTTGTTGGAACATTATTTTTTTTTTTTTAATTTTTTATTGGATTATCGGTTTTGGGGTACATGAGCAGAGCATGCAAGACAGTTGCGTAGGTACACACATGGCAGTGTGCTTTGCTTTTCTTCTCCCCTTCACCCACATTTGGCATTTCTCCCCAGGCTATCCCTCCCCACCTCCCCCTCCCACCGGCCCTCCCCTTTTCCCCCCAATAGACCCCAGTGTTTAGTACTCCCCTCCCTGTGTCCATGTGTTCTCATTTTTTATCACCCACCTATGAGTGAGAATATGCGGTGTTTCATTTTCTGTTCTTGTGTCAGTTTGCTGAGGATGATGTTTTCCAGATTCATCCATGTCCCTACAAACGACACGAACTCATCATTTCTGATTGCTGCATAATATTCCATGGTGTATATGTGCCACATTTTTCCAATCCAGTCTATTATCAATGGGCATTTGGGTTGATTCCAGGTCTTTGCTATTGTAAACAGTGCTGCAATGAACATTCGTGTACATGTGTCCTTATAGTAGAACGATTTATAGTCTTTTGGATATATACCCAGTAATGGGACTGCTGGGTCAAATGGAATTTCTATTTCTAAGGCCTTGAGGAATCGCCACACTGTCTTCCACAATGGTTGGACTAATTTACACTCCCACCAACAGTGTAAAAGTGTTCCTTTTTCTCCACATCCTCTCCAGCATCTGTTGTCTCCAGATTTTTTAATGATCGCCATTCTAACTGGCGTGAGATGGTATCTCAATGTGGTTTTGATTTGCATCTCTCTGATGACCAGTGACGATGAGCATTTTTTCATATGATTGTTGGCCTCATATATGTCTTCTTTCGTAAAGTATCGTATTTATTACATTGTCCATCACTTCTGTTTCTAGCCACTGGTTCATAAATAAAGTTGACAATTATTTTTCTTTACTGGACTCTTGATTCTCTTGCATTTGTCAAATTTTCTATCATAGAACTACATAATTTATTACAATCATTATATTTTTATAATTATTTTTGTCTGACAAGGCAAGTCCTTACTGTTTTAAAAAATTACTCTAATTATTCTCTAACTTTTGCTTTTCCAAATTTTAAAATTAACTAATCATAGTTGGGAATTGAATTGTGTTATATTCTGAATATCAACTCAAGTTTGGAATATCAAGGGTAGGTGATACTGAGAGAAATTACTGAAAAGAGACACATACTCACAGTGCAAAATTTACACTTTTTCCTTCAACAAGGTAAACATGAAACTATTTGGTGGAGATGGGGCAAAGTTTTAAGCATTACCTTAATAAGATTGGCCATCCTTCTACCTCAGCTACTGCTGACTTCCCACAGAGTTACACAGTGACTTCTAGAAGTATTTTTTTTTTATTTCAGTCTGCAGAAGGAAGAACAAAAACTCAGTTTTTTAAAAAAACTTGGTTTTTAAGAAAGAAAAATACTCAGTTCAGCATTTTCCAGAGAAATACAGAGAGATGTGTATTGTAAGCTTAATTACACTCAGCAGATTGTACTTTAGTGACAAAACTTTTACTATGGGACTTGTTTATACCTGCCAGAAGTATGTGTGTATGTTCTTATCTTTTCTCTCAAATATAAATGACTTATTTATGGCACTTTGTTTTCAGGTATAAACTTTTTAAAAAATAAATTCTTCTCAAAAATATATTCAAAAACCAGCTCCACATAATCAAGTTTATAACAATTCTTAAGAAAAATATGCTTACAATTTGTCAAAGTGAAGAGAAAACACTTCATTAAAATTTAGGTTTCTGGGGATAAGGCGTAAGACACTTTTATAAATATTTATAAAAAAATATATATTACTGATTAGAATTGCTCTGAATTAACAGAAGAATTTGGAACGAATTGTCAACTTTAAGACATTGAATCTTTCAATCCATGAATATAGTATATCACTGTATCTATTCAGGTATTCTTCAATGTTCTTAATAAAGTTTCATAATTTTTTTCTTTAAAGATGTTTTACATCTTTTGTTAAGTTTAATCCCAGATACTTTGCATATTTATTGACATTATTGTAAATAATACTTTTTAAACTTATATTTTCTAATTGGTACTGTTATATAAAATTTTAATTAATTTTATATTGATTTTGTATCTAGAAAACATGTTAGATTGTCTTATAATTGTAATAATTTTTATGTATTCTGTATTTTCAAATACAAAATAATTTTTATGCATTATTTTATGTATTATTTATGTAATAATTTTTATATATTCTTCTGTATTTACATAGCCAATCTTATTGGAGAATAGTGATAGGTCATACATATTGCACATTTATCCCTTCTCTCTTTTCTCTGTGATTGATCTTGTCAGATGTGTATTTTATTAGTTGTATTAGTTTCCTATATCAGCTGTAACAATATATCACAAACCTGGTAGCTTAAAACAACACACATTTATTCTTGTACTGTTCTGGAAGTCAGTAGTGTGCAGTAAATCTCACAGGCCCGTGATCAAATTGTTAGCAAGGCTGAATCGCTTCTGGGGGATCCAGTAGGAGAATCTATTTCTTGACTGTTCAGATCCTTGCCAGTATATTCCTTACCCCAAGATCTGCCACTGGCAAGTTAGAAACCCAAGAGAGTTAATGGTGCAGCTCCAGGTCAAGTTCAAAAGCCTAAGAACCAAGGTAGTTGGTAGTGTCACTTATAATATAATCCTTGCAGGATCAAGACCCAAGAATAATCAATGTTTTGGTTTGAATCCAAGCAGCAAAATACCAATGTCCCTGATCACATAGGCAGGGGAAGTTCCCTCTAACTCAGCCTTTTTGTTCTATTTAGGTCTTCAACTGATTGGATGAAGTCACCTTCATCCATTGAGGCGAGTAATTGTCTTTACTCAACCTACCGATTCATATGTTAATCTCATCCAGAAACACTCCGATAGACACATCAAGAATAGTATTTGTGCAAATGTCTGGGCACTCCATGGTGCAGTCAAGTTGACACATACAATTAACCATCACACTAGGCTTGTGGCTACATAATGCCAATCCCTGCTGCTATTGTCACATTGTCTTCTTTCTGTGATATTATTACCTCCTTATAGTTTCCTGTAATTATATTTTAGGAACAGACAAATAATTCAGGATAATCTCCCATTCTCAAAATTCTTAACTTATATCTGGAAAGTCTGTTTTGCCACAGAAGGTAAAATTCACAGATCTCATGGATTAGTGTGAATACATTTGTGGAAGGGAGTGTTGTTCAACCTACCCCATTTCAGATTCACCTTTTGAATCTGTTAATACTTTCTCCCTTTGTTTTTATTATTGCTACCCTTTGGTTGTTACTGATCCCCTCTTTGCTTTAGTTGAATATGAAGTTTATCAGCATTTTTTCAATTTCTAATATTAGAATAGAGAGGTATATATTTTTCTCCAAATACTTATTTGGTGAATTCCACAAGTTTTAGTATATAAAATGTGTACGATTATCTAATTGTAATTATTTTAAATTTGCTTTTGTGATTTCTTCTTTGACCTATGAGTAATTTACAAGTATTTTTTAATTTCCAAACATGAAAATTTTTATTTCCTTTTTGTACTGAGGCTATCCTAAATGCATTGTGTGATCTATAGGATATTAATTATTTAAAATTGATTAAGAACTGGTTTATGGCAGTATGTGACAAATTTTTATGTAAGAATGAGTACAGTGTTCTGTACATACAAGCTCTACTCTAATCCTACTGATGCAGGATGTCTCTTCACCGCCACTTTGCAAGCCAGAGAACCCTGGCTGGTGACACCCCACCTGGGCCTTGCTCAGCCACACTGATATGCCCCAGTGTTACAGCCTGTACCCATGTTCAGCCGTTCCCGAGCTCTCATACCACACCCAAGAAGAATGAGGATATGGTAGCCATTGAAAGATGAGTAGGGTGGAGAAGAATTTTGTCGAGCAATGGAACAGCTCTCAGCAGAGGGGATGTAGTGGGGTGATTCTGCGACTGGAAGATGGGAAAGCCTCTTACATGGCTGGGTCCAGGGCCCTTTGTGGACTCAGAATGGGGAGTGCATGCTGACTGGCTGGTAAGTATGCAAAGTGAAGCCACCACTCAAAGGTAGGTAGGACAGTATAGAAAACCAATTAGGAAAGGGTAGGTATATGTAAAACAGGTGAAGGGTGGAGATTAATCAGAGGAAAGTGCACCAAACAGGAAGACAAGTTCTCAATCCAGTCTGAGGATTTAACTTGTAGCTTAGTTTTTAGGCTTTAAACTGTCTCTTCGGCTTGGAGGTGGGGTTCTGCCAGGGACCTGTCTCTGCCTAGGCATTTGGCTGCCTCCTGTTGCTCTTGCTACTCCCACTTCTCATCCTGCTCATCATTTTTCATTTGGTTTAGATTTTGTCTCTTCCAAAAAGCCTCCCTGGACTCCTGGACTAAGTGTCCTCTTGTGTTCTCCCATTGTGCTCCATGTATAACTTAGCAAAACTTTTTTCAATACTGTAGTGCTGTCTTCTTTATTTATTCTACTACAAGTTCATAAGATGCTTAAGGATAAGAAGTAGATTTTATTTGTGTTTCTCTTTTCTGCTTCTCTTTACCTGCTATATAGGTACTTGGTAAATAATTATCAACCTAAACAACGAAATGAAGTGAATTTTTTAAAAGCTTGCCTGCTCTGCTCTCCTCTTTGACGTAAACAATATTCACTGCACTCTAGAAATAATGCCAATCTGCCACAATAAAATTAGTGGAAAGCTTCTCTATTAAATTAAAAAAATACCAAGGGAGAATTTTTTATTTTATCTAAAAGGTGTTACTTATCAAGGCAAAAGTGCCTATTTATCAAAGTCATACGCAGATCAAGAAAAACAGAACAGGTAGCCACTGAATTTAATTTTTGACTCTTGATAAGTGCATATGCCTTAACGCTAATGAAATTACAATGTTGCATGAATATATAGATGAACATATGGGTAAACCATGACAGAGATTACCGGTATGGAATCTAGGATATTATTAAGAAATAATAATGTTTATGTCTTTGAAACAAAGAAGACTCTAACTGGAACTTGTTGTAGACTCAGAGTCAGAAAAAAATTTATAAATCTTCTAGCCTAGCCCGATTCTTACACACCTTTACCTAGATCCCAGGTAAAAACTGAAGTTCTGTTTTGAACATCTCTACTGATAGGATACCCACTACCTCTAACATTTTTAAGCCCAAAATTATTGCCTGTCAGGGATATGCTACTCTAGTAGTGAATTAAGTAATTTAATTAAATAAAGAAAACAGAGTAATTCATTTTCGTAAAATTCCTCTTTTCCCTATCCAAAGAAATCTTCTCTCCCGCTATCATCTGTTTTTCTCAGTTATGATTGTAAGAGTCATCATAGTGTTGTTTACCTGATATAAAAAGCAATCCCTGCATCAAGTCAACTTTCTATGAAAAGTCTTAAACTTGGACTATTCAGTAGAAGAAAATTTATTTCACAAAACCTGCAACATTAAAGAATCTCTCAATTTGGAATATAGCAAGAATTAAATACTGTCATCTATTTGTCAAACTTGACTACAGTTAATCATTTTAAATCCCCAAATACATGGAGAAAATTTTGAAATGTGTTCTTTGGAACTAGAGAATTCCAAAGTACAGAAAAATGTTTATAATTCAAGGAAGGTTAACAATGTCTGACTACCTTCATATACAGCAGGTCCTAGAAGTGAAATGTTCTGGAAGTGTGATAAAGGATGGAGATGCTAGCAGATATTATAATAGAAAATACCTAGTACTTATGCCACAAGGGCCATAAATATTTACCCTTTTTCACCAAAAGTTTTTGACTTAGTTAATGATGGTTTCATTGCAAAAATACAAAGTTCATGTTTTCATCTGTCCCTGCAGCCATAGTGTTTTCTATGTAACTGCGCAGTGCCCTCTCACTCTGACTCTGGGCTAGATCACATGACTTGCCTTAGCCAAAGGAATATTAATAAGCTAATATACACCAAAGTTTGAATAGTGCTTGGGTGTAGCGATTGATCTAGCTCTTGCACCTGTGTCTTTTCCATGGGAACATGCCCAGGCTATCTGGCTGAGGGAAATACAGGATGTGTGGAGCAAAGTCAAGTCTCTCCAGCCAGCAGCCAGACAACCTCAGGTGCAAAGTCACCATCTGACAGGCATGCAAGTGCTTCCAGATGAGACCAGAAAAGCTGTTCAGACTGAATTACTGACTCATAGACTGATGAACCAGTATTTATATGAAATAAATACGATTTTAAAAGTCAATGTGTTTTGGATTTAATTCTTTTTATTTATTTATCTTTTTAAATTTTATCATTATTTGTTTTTTGAGATGGAGTCTTGCTCTGTTGCCCAGGCTGGAGTGCAGT